AAGAAAGAAAGAAAGAAAGAAAGAAAGAAAGAAAGAAAGAAAGAAAGGAGGAGGAAGAAGAAAGGGAAGAGAAAAGAAGGAAGAATGGGAAAGGGAAAGAAAGGGGATAGAGAAAGAGAGGAATAAGGAGAGAGAGGAAGAGAGGAATGGAAAGGAAGAGATACAGAGAAAGAAGGAAAGAGAGAGAGACAGAAAAAGGGAGAGAGAACTAATGCAATCCTGGGTTTCATTGAAAAAAACCATCCAGGTCAAAGAAGCAAATGGTTGCACTATGCTGCCTACTGGTCAGTGCCACACTGAGAGAAATTAACAAATTTCAGTGCATCCAGGAGACTTATGATGAGGATAGTAAGAAGAACGGAAGCCATGTAGTAGGAGAAAAGGCTTTATGTTCTGGGTTCAACCTTCAGTTTATCCTGAAGAATAAAAGATTTGGGAATGACACTGTAGCTCTCTACAAATATTTGAAAAGTCATCTGGAAGAACAATCAGATTTAGTATGTATAGCTCCAGACGACAAAACTAAGACCAAGAAATGAAAGCTATTGGGAGACAAGTTTCAGCTCACTAAAAAGAAGAACTTATCTAACAACTACAGTAGGCTAGTAATGGACCATGAAATGCATTACGGTGGTTTTGGAATCAGAAGACCTTGAATAACAGCTCTGATCCTTTCTACCTGTGTGATCTTGGGCAAGTTATTTAATATCTTTAGGACCCAGTTTCCTCATCTTTAAAATTAGAGGATTGGACTAGATGTCATTCCAGACCTAAATCTGCAGTCCAATGACCTCTAAGGTCCCTTCCAGCTCTAAATTAATGGTCTTGTGATCTCCATGACTGAAAGAATTGAAGCAAAATTTAGATGACCAAAAAGAGGGAAAATGATCTATTTGTACAAAAATATTTAGAACAGCTCTTTTTGCAGTGGCAAAGAATTGAACATTGAGGGGATGCCCATCACTTGGGGAATGTCTGAAGAAGCTGTGGTATATGATAGCAATGGAATACTACTGTGCTATAAGGAATGATGAGCAGGTTGTTTTAAAAACAAAAACAAAACCTGGAAAGACTTACAAGAACTGATGCAAAGTGAAGTGAGCAGAAGCAGAACAGTGTAGATAGAAATAGCAATATTCTATGATCATCAACTGTGAATGACTTAGCTAGTCTGAGCAATAAAATGATCCAAGACAATTCCAAAGGAGTCATGATGAAAAATGCTCTCCTCCTCCAGAGGAAGAACTGATGGAGTCTGTCTGCAGATTGAAGCATACTATTTTTCACTTTCTTTGGTTTTTTTTGTGTGGGCAGGGGTTCTGGGGGGAGTCTGTGTTTTCCTTCACAACATAATTAATGTGGAAATAAATTTTGCATGATTATACATGTATAACCTACATCAAATTGTTTGAATTATCCAGGAAGGAAAGAATTAGAACCTAATTTTTTAAGATTGAAATCGAAATTAAATTTAAGATTGTTTTAAATGTAAAATTTGGGAAAAAAATAAATGTTATTTTTTAAAAGTTTAGATGACCACCTAGAGAATTCCTACATCTAGTTGAGAAGGGAGTGGGGTGTGTATGGATTCCATGACTATTAAGGTCCCTTTCAATTCTTTAGAGTCCATGATTCTATGACTGGACTCATGTCTCATGTCAAATCTTAAGTTTTCATTGTAAACTTCTCTTCTCTGACTCCTAGGTAACTTCTCGAATTCCAGGTAGGCTGTAAATTCCTGTTTTCAACCCATGTTTCCCCTTTCTCTCTCACCCAGGATATTCTAGCCCCTTCTATACCCAGTACTCCTATTTTCCTCTCATCCTATTACAAGTTAAACAGAGTGGGCCATAGATAGGGAGGGACAGAGCTGAGTTAAGATTCATTTCCCTCCTGAAAATATCCAATTGGAAAGAATTGGGTCAATCTAGAACAGAATATATTTAGGAACTTCTCAATATTTTCACACAAAATGTTGCCCATTTGCCATATTCCCTAACTGGCTGCCTTACCGCATCATTGAATATCTGCAAAAATTTCATATAGTCCATCAGTATTGAGACCTGGGCCCCAAGACTCTCACGGATTAGGAACTGGGAATCAACATCCTAATGGCAAAAGAGAATAACATTAACAGACAAAGTTCCTAGAAGTCAACATCCCATTAGGAGATATTCCTAATACCTGAGAAATAACCAAGTCACTCTACTTACCTTCTTGAGGACAACGTACTCGTTCTCTGCTTCTGTTCTCTTGTGGATTTCATCTTCATATCTGTGACATAGTGAAGCCTGAAGTCAGCATCGATCCTGTGTCTCATTTCCTTTGAGGCCCTACTAGGTAAACCAAAGAACTGCAGGACCCCTCCCCAGACCACTGTCAATCTTCACTATGACCTACTCACCCAGAAGGAGAAGCAACGTACTGCTGAGTGGTGAATGAAATGGAAGTATGATATTTGTTCATGTGTTCCCTCTTTTGGGGGTCAGATACTTTAGCATACAACTTAGGTAGGAGTGGGATTGTATTAGATATTAGTAATGCTCAGACAACGTGAACCCTGGCTCATAGTGGGCTGAGATGTGAATACTCCCAGCACTAATCCCGATACAACAGAACTTCAGATGGTTTTGTAAAAAAGTAGAGACAGAGCTGGGAACAAGTAGTTTGGCAACTGCATTCACTTTGACCAAAGAGAATTGAATTCCAAAACAGTTTGCACTTCTTTGCACAAAACAGTTCTGAGCCCCCTTTGGAAGCATAGAAGAATAGGTGATAATAACCCAACTTGCTAACAGCTCTCCCTCCAGACTATTGGAAGAATAATTATTAGATTATTAGAAGAGAAATAAATCCTCCAAACAGAGTCTGTGGCTTTTGTGAGAGAGCTGTCTCCCTAAAGGAGGAATTCCTTGACAGAATTCCAGAAATATTTGTGGAAGCACATAAAAACAAGTCAATTTAAGTCAGGCATCAAACATTTCTTAGGACCTTTAAATGCAGCAGGAATGGTGCTAAGTACCAGAGATATAAAAGAAGAGTCAGGAGAAAGAGGAAGAAATGCTGGCTGTATAGAAAGGACTCCTTGTGTGAAGGACAAAATTAAGCATTTTCAAAACCGTGAATAACTGAAGATGTAAAGAGGGGAAATATATAAATAAATAGAGTTATCCAGAGATCAACAGGGCCTGTGTCTGAGGGCCAAGGTGAGGGAGGAAAGAGTTCTAATTATGCTTCTTCAGGGCCAAAAGGGACTGTGGTGCCCTGATCCCCTAGATATTCTGTCCCTCACCTAGTTTTCTGAAGATGCTGCACTCCCACCCCTACCCTGCCATGTCCATATTGGCCCCACCACCATCCTCCTTTTCCTCACTTGTCTTTGAAGTTGTCCATCTGTTGCTGCACATTACCCAGCTCAGTTTCCAGCTTTTCCTTCTCATTCTTGAGGCTATCCAGATGCCTCCCAAGCTTGTTTATATGTGAATCAAGGAATGACTCCAGACCCTCAGGAAACTTGGTGCTCTTGCCCTGCTCCTGAAGCAGGGCCCACTTGGTCTCCAACACCTTGTTCTGCTGCTCCAGAAATCGTACCTGTGGTCATAGAATCATAGTACAGTTATCCCTTCCACATGGCAGGGGCTAGGGGCGTGGCACCCCCACCACCACCACCACCACCATCCCCACCTCAAGCCTTGCCCCAATCTGGAAAATCCACATACAATTTTTTGGCCCTCCCTTTGTACCAGAGAAGAAGTCTGAATTATTATGGTATTAAAAAATAAAATATGTTGATATTAAACAATACCATGCACATATTTTTATGTATTTCTGAGTTTCTCAACTTTTTTGTGTCATCTGCTGGCCTTCATCTGTCATCTGCAGTTTCCGCAAAACTCTCAAAAAATTCCCATCTAATTTCTTATGCTGACCCACAACATATCAAAACCACAATGGGGAAAGTCGCAATGTGGAAGGACTAACTGTATTGAGATGTAGAGGATCAACTATAGTCCAACCCCTCCATTTTTCAGAGGATAAAACAGAGGCCCAGGAAATGCAGTGATTTATCCAAGGTCACACAGCTAAAAAATAGGAGAGCCAGAATTCAAACCCAGTTTCTCTGGCTCAAGCTCCACTGCTATTTCCATTTGTGACATGTTACAGGAGAAGAAAGAAAGGGCTTGAGCAGTCTATGCCCGGCAGTGGGAAGGGACCCAAGCTTCCCATCATTCCCCTGCCCCAGCCTCACTCATGTGATCTGTCTATAACCTGGTCTACCAATAACAACACCAATTCACATTTACATGGCACTTGAAATTTACCCATCTGAGGCAGGTAGTATGAATATCATTATCAACAATTTAGACATAAGGAAACTGAGGCCAATGAATATTAAGGGACTTGCCCAGGATCACAGGACCCATATGCAGGACTCAGACCTACATTCACATCAAATATTCTCCCGTATCATGATTTAACAGGAACAGCTTCCACTACAGAGACTAGAGCGGAATAGGATTTTTCTCTGATGTGATTGTCAGTTGAGAGTTAGACACTTTTACCTTTTGTGAGTCATTCAAATGGTGCCCAATTCTGCCCAAAGGTAAAGTAAACAGTTAGAGAATGTCTTGTATAAGCTTCCTTTAAAGCAATCTCACTAAAGTCAAAAGTCACTAGAGAAAAGAGTGAGGAGGGCAGGGGATGATATGCCTCATGATTTCACCTTTCTTCTGTTTCCTTTCCACCTACACAGAATCATAAAATCACTCATGGCAATAAGCAAAGAAAGCTAAGGCATTCGGACATTGACTACGGAACATCAGCAACATACATGCAGTTCAGCCTCAGCATGAGGCAAGGGAGAGGGCAGAGAGAGAGAAATGCCCATTGACCAAAAGAATAACCAAAAATCCCCAGTGACCCCATATTCTGTATTCTCACAGGTATCATGCTACAGATAGAAGCACGTATTACAGCCACAGTCAGGAAATTTGGATTCACTGAATAGCTAGTCACTTGGCTTCTCTGGAACTTACTTTCCCCATCAGTAAAATGGTCCCTGCCCTATCTGCCCTACCACCCCCAGAATCAGATAAGAAAATATATATGAGAATACCAAAGTACCATAAAAATAATGACTGCTGGCCTTCAGATTTACAAAGCCCTTTCCTTATGGCAACTCTGGAAGGTAGTGAGTAGAAATAGTATTTCTCCTATTTTACAGTTGTGGAAACTGAGGCACAAAGTGGTGAAGCAGCTTGCCTAAGTAGTAAATGTTTGGGGTTCAAACCCACTTTTCCTGATTGCAAGCCCAGTCTTCTTTCCACTAGACAACACTGCCTTCCAAGTGGAAGTAAGGATTTTTAAGGTACCATCAATATCATCTCAGATGAAGCATGTGACCCAGCCAGCATCTGACTGGGTGATGTGACTGGGTGATGGGAATGGGGGCAGTGCTTAGGCTTGGAAGGCAGAAATAGGATGGTGAATAAGAGCACTGAGCTTTTATTCCATCCCCTTCCCTTTTTCAGTATTTATATCAGGAGGCCAAATGGAATGGGAGAAGGAAAAGAAATGAGAGAAGCTAGAAGGGAGGCAATCCTTTCTCTTGTCTTCTACCTGATTCTCTCATGATTGTTCTCACTGTCCCTTAGAAATCCTTCTGAAAAGCAAGAGAATAGCTCCCAGCCCCAGGGTTCCTAAATCCTCAACCTTGGTTGGAATCTAAAGCCTCCCTGGGTCTAAGTGTTCCCATCTGCAAAATGGGAAGAGTTGGTAGGGCCATTACCCTACCAAGATTGAGCCCTCTTGAGCTGGATTCAGATCTCAGCTCTGCCATTGACTAGCTGTATGGCCATGGGTTAGTCACATTACCTCTCTGTGCCTCAGTTTCCTCATTTGCAAAATGTGGGGATTGGACCAGGTGATTTCTAAGCTTATTTCCAGTGCTAAGTCCTTTGAAATGTGGTTGTGGTAGTTGAGTAATGTCATAGGTGTAACAATAGGAATAATGAGAGTAGACAGTGTTGGACTTGGGTTTGAGAGATCTCTGCTCCAACTCAGGTTCTGTCACTTACTGGATGCATAACCTTGGGCAAGTCATGCTATGATTGTGAGCCTCAGTTTCCTCATCTGTAAAATGTGGATAATAATGCTTTCCCCATCTGCCCCACACAGTTGTTGTGAGGCAAACGTTTCATGAACATTAAAAGAGCCATATGGGAATTATCATTCTGTAGATTAATGGAACATAATGAATCAAAGAGGGAAGCCATATGACTATAATTAAGTTTATACAAGATTTATGTTATTAAAAGAATAATAGAATAACAACATCTCCAAACCAAATTCTCATGACTTAGAATCCCTGTCTCAGGCAAGAAGTGATTTCATCAATTCCTCTGCCCTAGACCATGCAAAGCTTCCTGTCCTCTGGAGATCTCACTGCCTTCCTTGGTCCCCCTACTACCAGCCACCAATCAGAAGTCTTTCTAAGATTAGACAATCCTTCTCACTGCAATGCCTACCAAAGTCTTCTGCTTCTAATTCTATAACCATGCTAAAGCATTTGGAGGTGCCCAGGATCGAGCTTAAAGGTCCCTTCCTCCTCATTCCCACCTACTAAATTTCTATTTCTTTACATTGTTTGTGCCAAGTTAGTATTTACAGGGCTCTGTCAAGAGTAGATAAAGAGAAAACAGGATAACATTCCATGCCTAGAATGCTTTCCCCTCTCACCCCTGCTTCCTGGCTTCCTTAGCTTCCTTCAGGACTCAGCTCACTCCACCCCTGGTTTCCACTCCTGTTCAGTACCTTCCCCTTGAAATTATCTCTCCTTCATACTATTTGATATAATATATCTATATATGGAGAGAGAGAGAAATATATATACACTCACATATACACATACACTATATATTAAATACATATACTGTATGAATTATACATACACATACTATATATACACACACAAATATGACAGATAGATAGATAGATAGATATTAGGTATACATAGTTGTTTGTATGTTGTGTCCCCCATTATAATGTGATTGAAAGCAAGCACCCTGTTTTTTGTCTTTCTTTGTATCTCTAAGAGCTTAACACAGAGCTAGACACATACTAAGCACTTAATGAATGCTTGTTAACTGACAATTTAACAGACCCAAAGACATTGTGGTCAGACACTAAGACTTTCCATGGTCCAAATGGGTCCTTGGAGCATTACCTTTCTTTTTTTTTTTAATTTTCATTTCTGAATTCTCTCCAGCCCTTCCCCTCATTCATTGAGAAGGTAAGAAATATGATACCCATTATAGATAGGAACATTGCCTCTCGACAGTAAAAATTTCATTGATTCTTCATGTTGGAAGGGATCCCAGAGGCTTCCTAGTCCAAACTGGACCTGAACAGCAATCTCCCCTACAGTCTGCACTACCCCCCAGCTAGTGGTCATTCCACCTTTCCTTGAAGACTTTGAAGGAAGTCACTACCTCCTGAGGCAACCCATTCAACTTTTAGACACTCCTAATTGTTAGGAAGATTTCCCAGGCTGAAATCTGCCTCTCTCTGGCTCCCACCCATAGTTCTGAGTTCTGCCTTCTAAAGTCAGGCAGCACAAGTCCGATCAATGCCTCTTCCCAAATGTCAGCTCTTCATAAGCTTGAAGATAGCTGAGAGCCACTCTATGACCCTCTCCATGGCACTCAGAGCATTTCCTCACAACAACCATAGGGGGTAAATGGAGTAAACATCATCACATCCCCATTTTACAGATGAGAAAACTGAGAAACAAAGTGACTTGCACATCCAGGATTTGAATCCACATCTCCTGAATCCAAGTCCAGTATTCTTTTCACAACTCCACAAAAGGGGTCGAAACAGTGCCAGCCAACAAAAGTTCAATGAGACTGAGAGGTGGGCCTGGGCTAGGGTAGGAGCCAGTCTCATTTCATGTCTAGGGTCTATCTCCTAATAGGCTTAAACAAAATTCCACACGTGATTCTCACCCCCCTTGACCCTTTTACCCTCCCACTCTCCCCAGCTCACCTTATCAATGAAGGAGGCAAACTTATTATTGAGGGTCTTGATCTGCTCCCGCTCTTGCATCCTCACCCTCTGAAGCTCAGGGTCAATCTCCACATTAAGGGGAGTTAGCAGGCTTTGGTTGACAGTCACCTCCTGGATGCCTCCAGGGGGGCAGGAGGGCCCAAAGTTTGACCTGGTGGTGCCCAGACCTAAAAAGCTACCAGCCCCAACACCAAATCCCCCTTGGGAGGCCCTCTGAACCATACTGCCAGAGATGCTCCTGTTAGCACCCAGATTGTAGAGGCTATGGCTGCCAAAGCTTGTCTTGGGGCTGCCACAAGCAGCACCCCCAAGCCTGCTCCCACCTCTGGACACTGTCGTGGAGCTGAAGCTGGTGTGAGTGTGAGTGCTACCCACACCGCGGCTGCCAGAGGCCGAGGAAGAGCTGAAGCCCCATTTGGTGTTATAGGTCTGGAGAGACATGGATGCCCTCGTGAATGCTGGGGAGAAAGATGAGTATGGTTAGAGTGAGGCTGAGAGGCCCGTGAAGATCCCAGGAGTGCAAAGAGATGGTCCTTTTATCTGCTCCCAAGAAAGGTGGCTCACGGGCTCCCGCAGACACTCCTGCCCCATTGCCCAAGGAGGAGACAGAGGGAGGGGCAGCTGTGGGTCTGGGTATCCACCCCACCCCCCACACCTCCCTCAGTGTCATCTCTTTTTCTGTGGAAAAGCCAAGACTAATCACTGTCTGGGGTGGGGAGGATACATTTTCCCCCACCTCCACCTTCACCCCCACTCCCAACACATTTCCTAACTTGGAATACGACACCAGATTCCAACTACTATCTCCCTCCCCTCTCCCAGTACCTTGGTGACAGACTCGGATTCCTGTGCCCCAGCCCAGACTGCTGTCAATGGAGCCCTTTCTGTTCCATGGGGTTTGTTCTTCAATCCTTTCATAAGAGGAGTTCCGGGGCCCTAGGGCACTGCAGATGGTAAGTGAGGTTGGGTAATGGAGCTGAAGAAGATTGGGTGCCCAAGCCTGCTTCAGTCCCACCCTCCCAGGCAGCCCACAGTCTCTCTTCTCTCCAGTCAGATTCAGACTCTATGAGGACCATGACTGACACCTTCAAGTATTTGTATGTAAGCTCCTCGAGGACAGGAAACGTTGAGTCTTTGCTTTGTCTCTCCCCTAGCATTATGGAAGATCTTGAAAAAATGCCTGTGGGTTGATTGATTCATTGTCTTTTAGAAGGATTACTTTTGTTCTCAGCTCCAGACAGCAGAACCAGGAGAAACAAACAAGTGCCTTGGTTAGTGCCTATTGTCCTATTACATAACAGGTCCCTAAATGTTAATTGAATTGAACTGGACTAAATGAATTGAGTCAAAGTTGCAATGGGACAAATTTCAGCTTGTCATAAGAAATAACTTCTTTTTTAAATGTTTTGAATTTTGAACTTAACCACGGAGAGAGAGAGAGAGAGAGAGAGAGAGAGAGAGAGAGAGAGAGAG